ACAAAAATAGAAAATATTTTCTTTTTATAAAATTTTGTTAAAAAAATATACAATCTTAATAGAATTTTAAAAAAGTGTTTTAAATAACTTTAATCTACTATTTTCGATTTGCTTAACTCAAAAATTTGAAATTAAGTTAATATATAAGTTGAAAATAATGTGAAACTTAAAGTTTATAGTAAATTTATATATTTTTATTATAGTTTTTATTATAAACTAATACTTATATATTAACAGGTATAACCTTTATATATACTATTTCTTTATACTCTGTTTTAACACCCTTACTATCCCAAATATATCCATTCTCACTTCATTCAACACTCAAAGGTCTTATATCTAAACCTCTAATTTAATTACTAGACCCATTTGATATCTTATACTCCAATGCCTCTTAACTTATTATTCAACTATTACTCAAAATTTCTGACCAACTTTATAATAATATTTAGATTCCATATTATACTAACTTTTCTCAATAGAAAAAATCTCTTCTTACCTCAACTACAATATACTATCTTAACTTTTATCTTTCCTAACTAATAAAAAAAAACAAAGCTAGATATTCTTTCAATTGCCCTTGTGGTTTTGTTAACCAACTACACTTTGAATCTAATACTTGCTTTCTCTCAGAACAAGCTATTCTCAAGTTTAATTCTTGATCTACTTTATAAACCAAACATTATATACCTATTAACTATATTCTAACTATTCAAATCTAGGTGAGTTTTGACTACTCTAGTAGGTTTAGGTTGCAAATAACTAGTTTAAGCTTTTAGTTTAAGCTTTTAGTCTAAGCTTTTATTTTTGTATATAATTTATATTATTTGTCTCTTTACAAATTGTGTTTTTATAGGTGTGGTGACTTAGTGAAGTGCTGGAGTTGTTGCACCCCCAGATGGCAGGTCTAGAGTTCAAATTCTACAGATGCTGATTTTGAAAAAAACACTAAATCTGTATTGGTTAACATTAAGATTATCAGTTAGATTTAGATATCTGTAATCTTGGTTACACCATCTTGAATGGGAGCTTTGGTGCAATAAATTTAGAAAACTGAAATTATTGAAAACCCATTTGGCAAGTCCTGAGTTAAAAGGTAGTATGCCTTTTGATAGTGCTATAGAAAGACCGAATTTGGATCCAGAAACTGAGATAGGAGAACCAAGCGACCATATCTTTTAGTAGGGGAACACACTAGCAGAACTACCAGAATCACCAACCAGAGGAAAAGAATATGAGCTCTGGAAGTATATACCAAGAGAAGGAAGACTATGAGGCATATAAAGCCTGGGCAAACTAACCCTTCCGGGTTGCCAGCTAGAAGTAAGAAAGACTAGTAAATAATTCGAGAAAGAAGAAAGTTGAATGTGAGTACTGGGGTTGTGTGAACCTTACAAGGGCAAGGAGTATATAATAAAAAACTAATTAGAAAGATTGTGGCTTGAGATATGAATCAGGTTATGGCAGTATCCTAAAGGATAGCTTGAGATATGAACCTAGTAACAGCAATACAACAAGTACTAGTTAGGCAAGAAGTTACTAAACATATAGATAAAAACATGTGTAGGACATGGACTACTCTGTTAGATTTACCTTATAAATAAAAATTAGCTAGAAATAGTTATGAAGTTCTAAAGTGGGTGCGAAATCTATAGGTATCACAAAATCTATGTATAAATAGTAAGTTATATCTTGGTTAGGTTAGAAATGGATAGCAATTGTAACTAGAGAGTTTAAATAGGTATCCACATAGTTGGAATGCAGGTACAGCAGCTAGTGTAGAACCTAGAGCAGACTACTTAAATAGGCAACCAAAAGTTGTATGTATATCTAGTTGTACTCTTATTAGTAATAATTAGAGAGCTTAAATAGGCAATCCCCGAGTTAGATTGCAGGTATAAGTAGCTAGTATAGAACTCAGGCAGACTATTTAAATTAGATACCAAAAGTACACATGTTGCTTGATGTACCCTCATTGTAATTGTAACCTGAAGTTAATAATCTAATAAAAAGTCCCCAACCTTAGAGGTCACCAAAAAAAAAAACAAAAAAAAACAAATTAAGTCTTTATATAGCTTCTATGTAACTACTTATATAAATTAATTAATAAAGATATGAGTAAGACCTCACCTTAATATAAAAAAAAAAATTAAAAATATTAACAAGTAAGACATATTCTCTAACTGTTAAAAACTTTGGCTTTAAACTAAAAATTATTAAATGCCAAAAAATATATATTTAAAATTTAGAGAAAGATTTATATATATACTTTTACAAAAATTAAATTTAAGTAATTTTTTTAGGGTACTGCTATTTGTACTGTGATTTTCACTATTTGTGCCATTATAATTCATATATATCACTTTGATTATATAAGGTGTTACATATTAAAACAGCCCTTTTTTACAATTTTTCAAAAATTGAGTTTTTATTATATTTATATAAATTTTGACATGATTAACATTTTTCAATTATAAATGAAAGTTAATTTGCATAATAAAAAATCAAGATAATACTAAAGAAAAATTACATGAGGCTTCATGAAGCTAACGCATCACAATATTATTCAATAGTTGCCTGCTACCTTTAACCAATCAAAATTGTAAAATTTGATTAATCCTGGATCAGTCTGAAAATCAAAACAAGTGATTAAACTCAAATATCTCAAAATAAGATATGTAAAAAAGAGCTGTTTTAATATGTAACACCCCATATTATATTTTATTTACATTATACTTTTTGTTTATAAATTTTAATAACTTTAAATAAAAATTTCTTAATAACTACTTGATCAAATTTAATAATTTTTTTTTTATTTGAATTCTATAAATTTATAGAATTCAAATAAAAAAAATTAATTAAATTTGTTCAAGTGATTGTAGAGATATTATTGGTCAAAGTTTTAGCAAAATTTTGAATGAATCTATCAAATAATAGGCATTTTGAAAATTTTAAAATCTTTGGTCAAAGATATCTCTGCAACCACTTGATCAAATATAATGAAATTTTTTTTATTTAAATTCTATGAATCCACAAAATTTAAATAAAAATTTTCATTAAATTTGATCAAGTGGTTGTGGAGATATCTTTGATAAAAGATTTTATGAATATTCTAAACACCTATTACATAATAGATTCGTTCAAAATTTTGCCAAAACTTTGACCAAGAATATCTCTGCAACCACTTAATTAAATTTAATTAATTTTTTTTAGAATTCAAATAAAAAATTTTATTAAATTTGATCAAGTGGCTGCAGAGATATTCTTGGTCAAAGTTTTGGCAAAATTTTAAACAAATCTATCATGTGATAGACTTTTAAAAATTCTCAAAATATTTGATTAAAGATATCTTTGCAACTACTTGATCAAATTTAATAAATTTTTTTTATTTAAATTTTGTGAATTCATTGAATCTAAATAAAAATATTTTCATTAAATTTGATCAAGTGGCTGCAGAGATATTCTTGGTTAAAGTTTTGGCAAAAATTTGAACAAATCTATCATGTGATAGGTGTTTTGAAAATTTTCAAAATCTTTAATCAAAGATATCTCCGCATCCAATTAATCAAATTAATGAATTTTTTTTATTTGAATTTTGAGTATTAATAAAATTCAAATAAAACAATTTTATTAAATTTGATCAAGTGGTTGCATAGATATCTTTGATCAAAGATTTTGAGAATTTTTAAAATATCTATTATATAATAGATTTATTCAAATTTTTCTAAAAAGTTGATTAAGAATATCTCTGCAACCACTTGATCAAATTTAATAAATTTTTTTATTTGACTTTTGTGAATTCATAGAATCTAAATAAAAAAATTTTCATTAAATTTGATCAAGTGGTTGTGGAGATATCTTTGATCAAAGATTTTGAGAATTTTCAAAACAATTATACTAAAGCACACTACTGGTATTCAACATCACAATGCAGTGTAACATGAAGATTATTATCAAAACAACAACAAAAAAAAATAAACAATAATATATTTAATAAATATTAAGTTATAGTTAATAGCTAAAGGTTAAAATAAAACATAATATATAGCAAAGTTTTGTAAAAAATTTTTTTTTATAAAAAAAAAGTAGTTTCATAGGTCAAATTTTGAGCTAAAGGTGTTTTTTTTAAAAATAATAACAAAATAAATAAAATTTTATATTACACCTGATTTTTATATTATATAGTATTTAAAAAATTTGATTTGTAAAAATCATTGTGGTGCTAAACATCAGTGGTGCATTTTAGTAATCTTGTTTCAAAATGCCTATCATATGATAGATTTGTTCGAAATTTTGCCAAAACTTTGATCAAGAATATCTCTGCAACCACTTGATCGAATTTAATAAATTGTTTTTATTTAAATTCTGTGAATTTATAGAATCTGCAAAAATACTGTTCCTGATAGATCGTCGGTACTGTTCCTGATAGGGTGGAAAAAAAAATTGATCTACATCCCGTTCCTGATAGAATGCCGGGTGGATGTTACACAAACTGTCAAATTAATCAAAGCATGCTAACGATTATCAATCTTTTAGATATTGAAACGTTTAATCATCAAAGAAATCTAACTGTGCAAAGAAACATTTTACTTAACTTTGTTACGAAATTATACTGCTACTTTTTTTAATATACCCGATTGCTTATCACAGTATTATCAAATTATTGCGATCAGTGGCATCTGAATTTGCCAATATTAATTACGATTAAGTATTTAAGGCGTTACCACGATTTAAAGCTCTTGATTTCACGTGAACAAGCTACGTGAATTTTTTTTTTGTCTATCAGACAAAAAAAATATTTAGTTGTATTAAGCATAAGTGTCGACCTTTAAGATTTATATGGTTGTCATGTATGCGAACTATCTACTTATTAAGGAATATAAAAACTCAATTAAGAGATTAATTAATGCTGATGTATACTACAAACACCCTGCTTAATCATGCAAAACAATTGGTTCCAAGGGAAAAGGGCGCCTCTGTTGTTTTAAGCAAATATAATTTTAATATCCTTTTCCCTTAGCAGCCTTATATAAGACAGCTATCCAATAAATAGAATCTATGGTGCTTTTATTTTATTTATTTTGTTTTAAAAAAAATTGTTCTGACTATAATACTCACCCTTATATTGCCTATTATTCTCTGGTGTAAGTTTTTCTTCCTTGTTTTCTTCCTGTTGGATATTGGAATTGTTTGTTGAAACATCAGCATTCTCTTGAACAGTAAACGTCAATGAGTTCCACGCTTCATCTCTGTTAGCATTAATGTTAGCATGACAAGCAATTCAATTGAATCTTACTTTTAGCGACCATAGAGAATCACTCAACAAATGCACAAGATTCTTAGGTTGAAAATTGACCGATCTGTTATTTAAGAAACACATATAAGCATACAGTGGTGCATGCCCTGAATTGACGCATAATTACAAAATAATCCTGCTAAAGGATTTTGGACATACAGATTTTTCAACTAAGAATTCATAAACTCATATTCATATCTACTGTATTCTTCCTTATAAACTAAGGATTCGTAAACTAAGCATATGTTTCCTTATAAACTGAGGATTCATAACCCCAATTCTTTTTTATAGACAAAGGAATCTCGGAATCTCATAGTTCTGTATAATTATCACATATTTATTGAGAATAATTCATATTTTATAAAAACAGCTTTGCACAAGTACAATATATATAGCTATTTTAAGTTGTTTAAGCTGTTATTGCATTAATTCATTTCTTTTGTTGGAAAGAAAAAGGGGAAAGCAAAGCATAAAGATGAGACTAAAGTTAAGTATATTACGTTTCTTTTGCATTCTTCGCCCGGATTTTTCTATTACTAATCCACCGATATATTTTCACACCATTTTCAACGGGATTATTATCCAAACATAGTCTTTTTGTTACCGCAGCATTTGTAAACTCTTTTGGATTCCAATCACACCCTTGTTCAAGAAATAATTCTTCTAATGATCTCTTCATCGCTAAAGCCATGTTATTTTCTTTTCTGCCATTTGATGTACATGACTAAAAATAAAAATAAAAATAAATATATAACGATAAATAAATTAAAGTAAAATTAACTAACGCTAATAGACCTACAGATTGAGTGGAAGCTCTACGCTTATTACGAATTCTTGTAGTATTTCGTCTACGAACAGAAGGTGGAAGTTCTATAAATTTAAATATGTTAATAAGAATTCTTAAATTAATTCTAATACACTTGTTGAATTTAATACCTTTATATTCATCACTCTGAGCATATTTTGCAAAAGAGTTGTCATATTCGTCATCATAAGCATTAATATTTTCAGTATCGCAAGTGTAATCTTGGTCGAGGTTGTTTAAATGATTCTTTGATAACTTGTTATTTAGAGGTTTTTCAACAAGATTTGAAAATCGGCTAGGTTTGCGATATTTTGCTCCATGTATTTTTGGTGCTCCGACCGTTGTAGGAATTGAAATATTGTCAATTGGACGAAAAGGATCTTTCGTAGTTGTTTGACGTTCATTTGAAAAAAAAATATCATCACCTACAGCATTAAAGAGTCGTAAAATCTCTTGATAGGCTTGTTCACTGGACCCATCGTAAATAAGATAATTTTTATTCTCTGATGCAATTGCTCTCTCCTTATTTTTGAAATGCTCTACTAATTTTTCTTTAACATCTTGTTTTTGTAGTTTTCCACGTGATAAGTCTATATAAATTCGTGCTGCGTAAATGTGTTTACAAGCATCTCTAAATGATCCATTCCAGACATAATCATAACATGTGCACTCATTAGTTGATATATTAATAAGATAATGAGATGCTGGTATGTTAATATTATCACGGTTGATTAATTTAATAATCATCTTATCAATTTGTTCTGACACCTCTGTTGAAATATTAATGTAATGATTATTATAAGGTGAGCAAAATATTGCGCTCTGCTTTTTAACAAACATATAATTTGTTTGTTCGGGTATTGGAATAATGAAATCGAGTAGTGTATAAAGGCGACCTTGATTTATACGACATTTTTGATCGATCGGCTTTTTGAATGGCATTTGTTTGTGTTCGATCGTACGCATATTCCAATAAGTTGCCAGACCCGCATCAGATAAAGTTTCACCTAGCTCACTTTGAACCAATGACTTTTTAATAAATTTGACACCATATAAACGCTCAATGAATGATACAACTGTCTGAGTTCCGCTGCGCCATGATTCTATAGTTTTATTCATTCTCTCTGTTAAGTTATTTGTTGTCATCGGCTTTGCACCAGTTAAAGCATACATTTGCGGTTCTCGCCCTCTATCAATAAAACCTTGCCTCCATTCATCGCAAATCCAATTCATTTCTAAATCACGAATCAAAAGATTTTTGACATTGTCATCAAGTGGTAAAAAGTATATAAACTTCTTATATTCGTTTCCCATTTCAGCTGCCTCATTATCAGATTTACTCCGGCCTACAATTTTGAAAGCCAATGCTATAGGATATCGTAAATTCCAATCAACTTTCCATTGTTGTAAATGTTCTTCTAAAGTTGACATTATATGAAACCAACATAAAATAGTACCACGAACAAGATTTTGTAACGCAAGTTTGGTCGGCCGATGCTTATCCATCATAGCCAACGGATTCCAATATGATATACATTTACGTATACGCTTAAACCCCCGCCCATCTGGCAAATCAATATATCGATATTGGTGCATACAATGAGGATTATTGCATGGAATATTAGCCTTTACTGCCTGTATTGCTAACCGTATTGTATAATAGTTTTCTTTATTACTAAAACCGAAAGCCAGTGAAGAACCATATCCAGCCTGATCCTCGATAACTATAGACAATACTGGTGCACCTTCATTATTTAAATCGTATTTACCATCAATTCCAAAACAGAATTGTCCATAATCACGGCCTTGACTAAGCCATAATTCATTGCTTAAAGTTAACTGATAATAGTATTCTGGACTATTTTTTGAAGCTGAGACGTCCTGACATTGGTAATAAAGAACTTTTCCTTGTATTTTCAATTCTGAAGTAACCAATTGATCTAAAATAGTCCATGGACCGGCATCTTCACGTAATTGATGATCATCTCTTTCAATAAGCCTTTTTAATTGTTGTTCATTGCACAAATCTTTGCCTGATTTATGCACATGTCGAAGATTGATCTCGTCTGCATTATTGTATTGGAATAAGACTTTTAATGCAATTTCCGTTCCAGAGACACGGTGTCCACGACGTGCAGCTATTGCCATATCACGAGTTTGAAGATTCAAATTGATTCTGCCTAACTTTGGTTCTGCTGCAGGTATTGACAATGATCTATGTGTACCTTTAATAACTAACTGTACTGGTAAAGGTTCTTCAATGTCAGAAAGCATAACTTTCATAATAATCTGAACTGCGCATTTGTGCATGTCGAAATCATTTTTAAGGTTATTTTTTAAATAAAAATTTGGACATTTGGATTTACATTCTCCAAGTCCACCACATGCTCTTTCACAATCATTACTGTCATCACAAAAAAGAAGCCATCTCCATACTGTTAGATCTGATGCCATGCGTTGTTTTATTTTAATCACACGATCACGACCTTTATTGGTAAGCTCAAGTATATCGTCTAATCTATTTGTCGTTTTGATTTGTCCTTTACTAGTTTTCCATGCAAGATAATCGATAGCACCTTCAACCTGTTTCAAAGTAATAAGTTCAGTCTTGACATTTTCATTGACATAGAGCTGACTTGTTTTTTTGAGTTTACAATTTGTAAATAAAGGTAGTGAATTAATATACGTTTCAACTACACATCCAAATGGTAAATTAACGCTTTCATCACTGTTAATACGATGTTGAGGAAGTGGATATATTGTACTTATTATCTAAAAAAAAAATAAATAAATAAATAAAAAATAAAAAAAGAAAAAAATTGTAATAAACCTTTAACTATTATAAAGTATT